AACCCAGACTTCCCTCTCCCTGGCCACTTCATCCAGCCATTAAATGCTGGGTTCACTGTGATAATAAAGGGATGGACATGGTCAGCAACAAAACTCAGCGCCTCCAAATCCGAGACCATGGTCCTCAGCCGGAAAAGGGTAGAATGCTCTCTCCAGGTCAGGGAGGAGGTCCTTCCCCAAGTGGAGGAGTTTAAGTATCTCGGGGTCTTGTTCACGAGTGAGGGAAGGATGGAGCGGGAGATCAACAGGCGGATCGGTGCGGCATCAGCAGTGATGCGGGCGCTGCACCGGTCTGTCATGGTGAAGAAAGAGCTGAGCCAAAAGGCAAAGCTCTCGATTTACCAGTCAATCTACGTTCCTACTCTCACCTATGGTCACGAGCTGTGGGTAGTGACCGAAAGAAAGAGATCGCGAGTGCAAGCGGCCGAAATGAGTTTTCTCCGCAGAGTGGCTGGGCTCTCCCTTAGAGATAGGGTGAGGAGCTCGGTCATTCGGGAGGGACTCAGAGTAGAGCCGCTGCTCCTCCGCATTGAGAGGAGCCAGATGAGGTGGCTCGGGCATCTGCTTAGGATGCCTCCTGGACGCCTCCCTGGTGAGGTGTTCCGGGGCATGTCCCACTGGGAGGAGGCCCCGGGGAAGACCCAGGACACGCTGGAGGGACTATGTCTCTCGGCTGGCCTGGGAACGCCTCGGGATTCCCCCAGAGGAGCTAGATGAAGTCGCCGGGGAGAGGGAAGTCTGGGTTTCCCTGCTGAGACTGCTGCCCCCACGACCCGACCCCGGATCCAGCGGAAGATAATGGATGGATGGATGGATGGCATGCTGGTAAACATGCAGATTTCTGTTGATAGAATAACCACAATAACCACATGTTCATTTTGTAGTTAGTTGGGGATGCATGGATTTGTTTGTTACATAAACTTATTTTATTGTAATATTTTTGTACTGGGATGTTTTCCATATTGTTACGGAGGAAAACTTTTCTTAATCTTCTTAGTCTAAAATGCCCTCTATATTTGTGCTCCCTGTTTCGCATTTAAACACACTAACTGGCACTTATTAGACACACTTTGCTAGTACTGGGTTGGACCCCCTTTTGCCTTCAGAACCTCTGAGATGATATGAGTTTTGTGACACGGCATGTCATTCTGCTGGAAGCAGCCATTAAATGCTGGGTTTTCACTGTGATAATAAAGGGATGGACATGGTCAGCAACAAAACTCAGCAAGGCTGTGACATTTAAAGAATTTTTGGTTGGTATTAAGTGGCCCAAAAGGTGCCAAGAAAATATCCCCCACACCATTACACCACCAGCAGCCTGAGTTGTCGGTACAAGGCGGGATGGATCCATGCTTTCATGTTGTTTATGCCAAATTCTGATCATCCCATCTATAGCAGAAATCCGCATTTATCTAAGCAGGCAATGTTTTTCCAATCTTCCATTGTCCAGTGTTGGTGAGCCCATACCCACCCTAGCTAGCCTCAGTTTATTGTTCTTAGCTAACACCTGGCACCCGGTGAGGTCTTCTGCTGCTGTGGCCCATCTGCTTCAAGGTTCAAAGTGCTGTGTACTCAGAGATGCTCTTCTGCATACCTCGGTTGCAACAAATGCTCCTCTGAATTACTGTTGCCTTTCTATCACTTTGAACCAGTCTAGCCATTCTTCTGTGGTCTCTGCCCAGAGTCCAAAATTAATTTTTTAGCCACCGGCTATGGAGGATGGTAGATGAAAAAATCCACCGGCGAAGCTTATTTTTTACCAGCCAAAATCGTAAATAGCCTTTTTGTGTCACTTATGCGTTGGTTTTAAAGGTTGGCATACTCCTTGTAAATATCACCATATCATTTAAATTACTCTGACAGTAACTAGCAGCAGACTGGTAGCAAGTGATAGTTACTCACATTCTGCGAAGATACACACACGTTTGTGTTTGTGTCTAGTGTGTGTCAAATTCCAACAGAGAGGACAGAAGCTGAGCGGCCATAAATCAACTGCGGTACAGACTCTCAGGATGGTGTTTAATTACATGATTTTAGGTACAAACATTTACCCACCAGTGTGGCAGATAGTCTTCTGGGATTTACTCACCAAACAAAAAAATCAACCCACATTTGGCACCTGCCAGGTGTTAATTTCAGACTCTGCCTCTGTCATCAACAAGGCATTTTCACCAAGAGAACCACCGTTCACTGGATGTTTTTTCTTTTTTGACCCATTCTCTGTAAACCCTAGAGATGGTTGTGCATGAAATTCCCAGTACATCAGCAGTTTCTGAAACACTCATACCAGCCTGTCTGGTACCAGCAGCCAGGCCACGTTCAAAGTCACTTAAATCACCTTTCATCCCCATTCTGGTGTTTGATGTGAACATTATCTGTTGCTCCTGACCTGTATCTACAGGATTTTATACACTGGGCTGCTGACATATGATTGGCTGATTAGGTATTTGCTTCAATGGGCAGTTGAAAACACGTACCTAGTAAAATGGTCAATGAGTGTGTATTTAATTTTCAGTTAAAATTCTCTAGAATTTCCCTACCAACATAATAATGCTTTTTTGATTAATGTGCATTCCTGACTACATATTTTTACAGTGACTTGTAATTTGAAATTCATTGATTTGATTTGTGAGTTTTTAACAGGTTTCATTTGTCTTAATAGTTGACTGTTTTTATGCCATACATTGTTTGTGGTTCACTGTACAAATGTTTCAAACTTAAGATTTACTTTAATTGGCCTTTTTGAGATATAAAATGTAGGATAAAACAAAACAAAATTAGGTCTTGGTGTAGTACTATGTCATTGTCTTCTGATATTCAAAGCTGCATGATTGACATCTTGCTTATTTCAAAACAAATAAGTACATTGCTCATCGAAAGTAATATTTATGACTAGAGATTAGTAAATGGTTTGCCAACTTTTCACTTCTGTGCACTTCGTTTTGTATTGCATGTCACATGGTGCATTTTGGTTCATTATTTTATGGTTTCCATTCGACTACTACAGTATTTTGTTTTGCAGAGCAGAAATTTGAAGTCCACATTTGAATTTTGAGCCATTCAGATATTTTATATTGTAGTTCTGTAGGCGTTTGTACTAAATGGCAGGCATTCGGTAAAATGCGGTATCCTTGCGTTTTTAGTAAAAAGTTTGCATTTCAATTTCCCTGCTTTTCCCTGATGTTAAAGGCATATGATTGTTACTGCATCTGAAGCGGTGTAGACGTTTATTAAGTCACAGGCGTGCAGAGTAACGTTTGGAGTTAGCAGTCTGCATTATGGGGGATACAGCTTCCCCTTCAGGGTGCATCTACGCTCCAAAAAATGGAATTCAGCGTCCAAGAAGGCAATTCCCGCAGTATAATTTTTAGTTCACTAGTTCAGCTGTTCTTATAAGTGTCTGTCTGTCTCTACCCAATACATGGAAAACCGTGTCCACTGGGCCGTTCAAATTCAATTAAAATTCCTGTAGCCTACCTCAATTATTAAATTATGTAAATAATTATAAACAGAGCAGTATTAATTCACCCAGAACTAAAACCAATTAGTAAATAGATAGCAATACACTACGCAGTATAAGCATCTGTATAAAATGCTAGGTATTATTCATGAAACATCAAACTTTCATTTTGAACCTGCCACTCTTGAGCACGTTAAAACAGTAGTGAAATATAACAATATATAGTTAAACCAAACCTACTTAATGTGGACAGAAAAGGAAACTTTTCTCTATATATTACACTACTACGTACTGTAAATAATATAGGCATATACGTAATTTTTGGAGAATATATTTCAGCAATATTCTGCAATTAATAAGTTTCCGTTACAGAACTACATAATTATGTAGAATGAATTTTAATGTGTATATGTTTTACTTTATTTTAAAATAAAGGATTATAGATGTATGAGTTCTGCTTATATATTAATTAGTTGGCTTTGGCTACACAGCAACAGTAAAATTTTGCTTATTGTTGTCTTGACTGAAAAGCCTATAGGATAACAACATTTAAATCAAAAGTAGGCATTATTCAGGCCTACTGCTAATAAGATTACACGTAATTAATGTTGTTAATGAATTGAGCACAGATTAAGTCGACAAGCAGAGGAACAACTGGTAACCATCAATAACACCACCTTCTTCGTTATTTTAATTACTCATAGACTGCTTCGAGCATTTTGGGCGGTACTGTAACACCAATGTAAATTTCCAGTTAATGAATGCATTTATTAAAAACTCCTGTAGGGTGCGGCATTGGACATTTGCAATGTTCACAGTTACGTTGAAGCTGTAGCTGTTACTTGGTAAATGTGTAGCAACTTTTTTATTACTTTGTACAGTAAATCTAATCGTGTACCAAGTCTTCATTAATGCTAACTCCACATGGCACGTAACAGAAATGGACGCATGCGCATTCTCTCCACTTTTAATAATGCAACAGCAACACATTATCCCATTACATTTTCTCTCCTTAGCAGAGTAATTCTGCCGGTGATTAAAATTTCACCAACCCCCCCCCCCCATAAACACAAAAACACACGTATAAGATTAAAACAATTTATTATAGTATAAACGTTTCAAAAGATGGATTCGTAAACTATTAAATACAAATTATGTAATTTAATGGAAAAAGTATTCGAGTCAAAATTTACAGCATAGGTTATTCAGGATATTCGAATGGAACTGTATCAATAACTGTAAAACCTATCGCCGTCAAATGCCTGTATGGGATATGAAGCTACAGTACAGGGCTGATCAAAGCTGTGTCATCGAGATCATTAAAGTTTAAATATGAAACCTCATGCATAGAAAATGCTACGTTCCAACCATAAATATAGCCTACAGTTCGTGTCACAAAAGGTACTTGCTTCCGAGTCGTTCAAAATTATTAGAAAGTCAGTCAAGAATAAATAATGATCATATATAGTCACAGAAAAAAAATACGTTGCTTGCATTCAAGATCCTTGGTGACAGGATCAAAATATGTCTATTGAGCAACATGTGTAGATGAGTTAGGAAAGGTTCGATAATTCCGCGTGAAACGATACAAAAATAACATTTAAGAAAAGGTTGTCTTCCAAAGTATTTACAGTCATTGTGTTTCTGTAGATAATAGAGTCATTTGTTTGTGAATGTCCCTTTACTTCTTTTTCGTGACTTTTTTGGCGGTGGTCTTGGCTTTTGGTTTTGCACTTCTCACTTTCTTTGGCTTGCTGGCCTTGGCCGCTTTGGAGACCTTGGCTTTCTTCACGGGTTTCTTCGGCTTGGCCGCCGCTTTCTTCTTCGCCGGCGTCTTCTTCACTTTCTTCTCCGCGGCTTTGGGTTTCTTGGCTTTCGCCGGGGATTTAGCCACCTTTTTGGGTTTGGCCACCTTCTTGGGCTTCGCGGCTTTGATCACTTTCTTCTTGGCTTTTTCCACCGGTTCGGGCTTGGCTGCCTTCTTCAGATCTTCGGCTTTGGCCAGTTTAAATGAGCCCGAAGCCCCGATGCCCTTGGTGTGGCGCAGGATCCCAGTGGCCACAAGCCTCTTAAGTGACAGTTTGATCTGAGAGTCCGCGTTGTCGCTTACCTTGTAGTGGCTTTTTATGTACTTCTGAATAGACTGTCTAGACGCACCTCCGCGACTTTTGTCGGCGTGGATAGCAGATTTGATCATTTCCGAGTATTTGGGGTGAGATGCTGATTTCTTCTGGGATTTAGTTTTCCTTGCCTTCTGGGCTGGTGCTGCTGCCGTCTCTGCCATGGTGATCCCGGGGTTTTTTAATTAATCACAGCAAATATCTTAAGTCTTTGCACCTTTGAAATAACTCCCGATTTCTCTCCTGCAAGTCTGTCACAAATAGTCCAGGTCAGATATATCTGGAAGAAGCGTCGATTTTTCTTATAAAGACGTCTTTTCAGTGGGTATTTTAATTAAGTTAATATTGGTTTCCAAGTGAAAAGTAAGTGAAAACACATGAACAAGGACCAAATGCCACCGTATAAATATATTTCATTCTCCCAGCTACTCCTGCGAGTTTATCAAGGCTCCGCGCGGACGTGATTGAGAACACCAACTGCCAGCAGCTGATCTAGCAGCCTCTATGAAACACTCGCAGTCCGGTTTGTGTTTCTTCTTCCTCGATCTCTTGCGAAATGTGCAGAGTATGGGGTCGAACGGGCTCGCAGAACCGCTCAGCATGAAAGCGGACACCCTGGGCTTCACGGTCGTACCGGGTTCCCGAAGCAATTCATCGGCCGATTAACTTTTATTCCCTGAAAACCTCCGCGAAGTGATGCGCGCTAAGTTCAATTTTGCAGAATTCTTGCAAATTTCACCCAAACAGATAAAACTGACGACAGAATTACCGAATGCATATGGAAAACTGATAAATATTGTAACGTTTAAACGTGGGTCGAAGTGTGTAAAATACTTTTTTTGTTTATAATGCATCGATATAGTTTCCTAACTAACACAGCCCTGCCATTGACTTTGAGTGACGTGGTTGAGATTATTTACTGTTTAACCTACTATAAATTAAAAGACTCATAAATTAAGTCAATGATATATTGCGGATTATGTATCTGCATCCTTGTTTGATTCAGCCGAATGTCGATTGTGTACTTTTTATGGCTGCTTGAAGAGGGAGTTTGAAATTCACAAACGCGAGCTGTAATCAGGTCTGGGTTTCTTCGTTGTTAGGAAAGTTGCCAACACCCCCAAAGATCTGGTTTTCTGATCATCATCTGATTATACGAAGGGATTTTAAACAAATGGACTTTGCTTTAAGCACTCTACAGGATATATACATCAGCTCAGCATTCCCACTGTCAATAAAGTAAACAATTCGTTTATTATAGAAACCAGTGGTGACATTCTTTTGTTCAGAAACTAACTCGAGCAAGTGTATCGACTTAAAAATAATACGATTTTGAGACCCTGGTTTTCCCAAGCCGATTTCTGCTGTCAGTAAAACCCACGAGTGCATCTCTGTTTTACATTTAAATGCAAAACAATTGAAATTTATTTTAATTCAGATTTTTCTGAGCTGATATATTTTCATAGCAAAACGCCATCTTGGATGCCTCCAGTGTTGGATACATTGTAAGCTTTTCACTTTATTTAATGCATTCATTGCACCATTATTCGATAAAAATTAATTATTTTGGTAAAGCAGCCCCTTAACACAGCCAGTTTGTTTGAGGGAACATTTTTTTTCTCTCGAAGGTAATAAAATATTGCCTTCGTGTTTAAGCACAACCCACGGTCTGTCGTTCGCACCAGTTTACTCTTGGCAGAAACAGGTTAATAGTCCAATGTACACTGTGAAATTATATACTGTACTGTTTAGATTACGTAAAAAAAAAACTAGATATTCCCGCCTCATTAACGTGTGTCAGGTTATCAATGGCTCGCCAAATTAATTGCAAGCAACGGAAGTATAAGCTCTTCACTGAAATGAGGCTGCTAATTTTGTTATGCTATATGCAATTCATGCGTGCACGAACTACTTTACATTTACACGTATATTAATATATACGACTTGAATTGCAAAGGAATTAAACTGTTTTCCTCAACATTTCTCTCCTCTAGCAAGTGTTAAATTGTGTCCACGTGTGTTTCATATTTCTCAGACCCAGAGTACATTCTCGCTTTTGATAATAAACCGTGAGCTCTGGAATGATACCTGGTTTACCCAGGCTCGCTGCGGGTTGGTGCTGAAGACAGCACCTAGAGTCTACACCCCAGGCGACCGCTCACACCCGGGCGCCACCCGCCAGTAGGGCGCTTCGAACAATGGGCACCACAGTCGGTCGCTACACGATGCTGATATTATTTTTATTATTATTATTATTATTGTTGTTATTGTTGTTGTTGTTATTCCCGATAACTTAACGCATCAAACAAAAAAAATGTAGAAAATATTTTTATTGTTTATTCATTATTTACAGTAGGCCTAGTTACACCTCGGTATTGATAATATACCGCTTAGTATTACTTGGTAAATGTCCGGTCGTTTTAGAACAGAATTTAGTCAGTTCAGCAAGTCTAGAAACAGTTGGAATCGTTAAGTTTACAGGTACACGGAGCATGTACGCTCCATAAATGGACTGCAGTATGAACATGTACTGTAAAACCACGACCAACAAAGTCCAGTCCTTTCCTTTGTACAAATGTGCATAAATCAATATGAAGGTGATCAATTAAACATGTGTTGCAGCCTTTGTAGGCTTTTATGGCATTTTGGATGGTCAAAAGGTACGCATCTATGATTAAATGCGTAAAACATGTTTGTAAAGTGAGTATTGCAATTCAGTATACATTCAGGAATATGGAATTTAAAAGAACAATGAATATTTGTACTGTTGATTGAGTTGAAAGGTCACACCATTTGGGTGGGGGATGGTTGCATCTAGTCAGGCTTATGAAGCTTGTCCCCGTGTCAGCGCCACCTAGCGGCCTTGCCAGGTCCAATTTTAGTGCAATGAGGCATTTGCACTCTTTCTCTTTCCCAGAAATACGTGACCCGCAGTCTCTTTATTGCTGAATATTGTTGAATAGGATATTGACGAAAACTGTAGAAATACTTGACAGTGGTAAATGACAGGCTTAAAACAACATCAGTAATAATAATAATAATAATTATTATTATTATATTTCGGTGTTATAGTACCATAACATAATAACAATATACTACTACTACTAAAAATAATATAAAATATCCATGTTTAAACTGTAATTCCTACTAGTATGATGTCAAGATATTTGCATTTTCCCCCCCAAAAGCCCTTATACTGTTCATTTACGCTATACCTCTTATTAAGCACCTGAATATTCAATCCTAAATTAGAGCCCTTCGCTGTGGATTTACCCTAAATGATTCCTGGCTTTGTAAACATCTGCACTCCCACCCTTGGCACCAAACGGCACACTCTTGAATATAATTTCAGGTTAGAAGTGCGGCTGAGCAGATTATTTGCTGACAGGTTAATTGTGAGGAGATATATAGTGCTCATAGGCTGAAAGAATTATGGGATTAAACACTAATACACCTTTTTCTTTGCCTTTGCAGTCCCCATGAAATTGCAGAACGGATGCAGCCTTGTCGAAACACGCCTCGGCTGCCGCTGTACTTCTCTAATTATTTATCGAGCCTGACTTCTTTGTGTTCGCGGTGACGTCAGAGACATGCTCTTTCTGCTTGTGTCGATTTTCTTCTTATGTCCAAATTTCATCATCCGATATTGTACTATAAGCCTGTTTTTGATTGGATCCTGTTATGGCAGCACCATTCGCGGGGAATAATCAGTGCTGTGATTGCGGTTTCCCTGGCGTGCTGTGTGTAGGTCAATGCATCTACATTGCTGACTTCGAAGGATCATAAAAAGAGGTGGAATTCATTGTATGGCCTACGGTTTATTTTCTACCAAGTTATTTTAAAAGTCTATCTTGTATTTTAAGTACTATGTAGTGAGTGTGTAGAAGTATTACGTTGCCTTCAGATATATTTTTAGGACTGAGGTATAGCTTAAGAAATGCTTTAGGCATTAGCGTTACAACCAGGTTTTTCTGCTTTTACTCAGGACATAACTAGTGCATCTAACCTTTTACAGCAGCTCTTTCATGAGCTAGACAGTAACTGCAGTTATTGAAATTGTCTTTGAAAGTATTTTTTGCTTAGAAAGGATTTTTTTGTGACTTTGTTGGTGACTCTTCATCAAAGCAAGCTGTGACCTGCAGAAGTGTTCAGGAATGATTTAGCTTTAGTGTTTAGACTCTAGATTGTTGCCAGGGAAACTCTCTTTTTATTATCCAAGATTAATGCTGCTATGACAACAGAACATCATATAAACCCAAGCATTTGATTTAGACAGGGTAAGGTATTGGACTGGAAGATATTCATCAACAACAGGGAAGTCTATATTATAGACTGCATTTATGAATAACCAATAAATAAAATTGGTGCATATAAATAAAATTGGTGCACATATTTGTCTTGCACATATTTTGTCTTCATTTTGCACTGTATAACTGCTGAGAGTCAAACTGACTGCATGCTGAGGTAAATTACCTGCAGTCGTTCTGTGACTAGCTTAATACTTGAAGATTAGCATGTGTTGCTAAACCCCGCGTAGGGATGTCGATGTGTGAGGATGTGTATTGCCGTTCTTTAATGTTGGGATGTGGTCGCTACTCGTGGCAGGCACAGGCATGTCACTTTGAGCTGCTGATGATGTCCCCTTTCCAGACATAGCAACCAGTGTTGCATACCTTCTCAATGAGGCCTCCATCTTTTTACTTTACAGCATAATGTTAGTGCTAAATATGTATGGGCCGGAAACTTGATACTTGCCGTGATGTGCCGCAGAAATTGTTTTTCTAGGAGCGTGTTTTTATTTTTGTGTTACGGCTTCTGTTATGGATGAGTAGTCGGTTCATACGGCTTGAGGGATCCCGGGTGATCTGTGGAGCATGGAGGGATCCCGGGTGATCTGTGGAACATGGAGGGATCCCGGGTGATCTACGGAGTATGGAGGGATCCCGGGTGATCTGCGGAGTATGGAGGGATCCCGGGTGGCCTGCGGAGCATGGAGGGATCCCGGGTGGCCTGCGGAGCATGGAGGGATCCCGGGTGATCTGCGGAGCATGGAGGGATCCCGGGTGATCTGCGAAGTATGGAGGGATCCCGGGTGATCTGCGAAGTATGGAGGGATCCCGGGTGATCTGTGGAGTATGGAGGGATCCCGGGTGATCTGTGGAGTATGGGGGGATCCTGGGTGACCTGTGGAGTACGTGCACTTGGTTTTGTGGCTTTTGAGTGTGAGACCCACTGGGGCTACACAAGATCAGGAGTAGGAGATGGCGCTCAGCGCTCTGCTGACTCCTCACAACAGTCTCCCCACTTCTGTGACCAGCACATGGTCAGCCAGCACCAACCTTCTCCCTGCTCCTCTACCAGCCCATGGAGCTACATGCTTCATGTTTCAGGACTGGGGCAGGTAACTATTTTAACTGTTTCAGCTGTCATC